TTCGCAATACTTAAATGAATTAAATTTATAATTTTTTTCAAGTATATAACAATTCTTATATTCTTTTTCAAGTACATTTTTCTTGAGAATAATTTATCATTTAGATAATAAAATATTTTTTTAATAATATTATTAATAATAATAATAGTTGTATACATTAGTATTTTATTAGTAACGAAAAATAAGTGATAAAAAAAGAATAGAATTGAATTATATATAATATATATAATTTTGATTGATCGAATTTTCTATTTTTCTATAATTTTCTGTTTGGGTTTTTAATATCGTTTTATATTGCAAATATAATTCATTTTTTTAAATTAAGTTATTGGATTATAAATATCATCGTGCCCAGTATAAGTATTCAGATATTCAGATAGACAAGTCAGTCTTTATTCCATCGATTTCAATTAATTCTATTCATCATGAAGATGTCCAATTGAAAATTCTCTTTGTGCAAGGTATTATTATTCACTAGACTGTGTATCACAGCGGAATTTGAATTTTAATGAAAGCATGTCTGAAAGAATTGATATGATCAATAATTGATAACTTATTAATAACGCAAATGTGTTAATAGAATTTTTTCTACGGGAATTATTTTGATGTCGAAATTAAAAATTTGCAAACAACAAATTAACAAATTTTTAGAACGGAAATTGATCATTTTTCTTTCTTATCATGAACTGCATATATTTTCTTTATCTTGGAGTTCAATTCTCTTAAACATGTGATCGATAAATGCATTTTTATATCAATGTTTTGTATTGTTTTAAGTATTTTAATCAATGTCACAAGAAATATATCAATTTACAAGCTTAAAATTTGAAATTTATTAATTATGAATTATTATAAATTTAATTTTATTTTTTCATTAATTATATATGATTGTTACATTCTTTTTTATTTATTCTTGAATAAAAATATTTTGAAATTATAAAAAATGAATTTAAAAAAATTTTATTATAATTCTATAATAAAATTTTAAAAAATAAGAAACTATTTTGTAATTTATTAATCGATTATTAGATTTAATTTTGTTAATTTATAAATATTTGATTATAAAATAAAAGATACATATATTAATATTTCTTTAATATCATTAATAAACATTTATCTTTGAATTATATTAAATATACAAATAATTCTTATTTTTATAACTAAAAAAAAAAGATATTTTTAACAAAAATTTACGCAATTCTATATTACGAAAGAAGAATTAAAATTATTTCAAATTGTTACTGAAATATTCATTGGTTCCTAAAATATCGTAAAATAAATGTGAATCAGAGCAAAGCAGACTTTCCTTGTTTTCAAATTTCTAGAATTCTTTGAAACAATATTATAGGAATTCAAATATATCCTTTGCAGCTGCAGCATGATTAATTGGACACGACTAAAATTTGAATCAATAATTAATCGTTGGTATAATCATACTTGCAACAGAATCGCAAGATGGTCCTTTAATGGTTTCTCATTCAAGAGTCCTTTAATGGTTCGCTTTTTCATCCGTCACTGAGTTCGTTTGTCCTGATGTTCTCATTGTTGGCTTTTTATTAAAACACGAAACATCCAGTCATAAGATATTGTGACATATATATGAGTAACGGTCGGTCGATAAACTCTTGTAAAAAAGATGGTAATTGGTGTCGTGCTATAGCGTATATGTGCTAATGCGACATGCAAAAAAATATTTCGCTTTTGATCAATACCATCATCGAGTTTTCACATTCGTGCAAACGTGTAAAACGCACTAAATATAACTGTTGTTGCTTCAAATCAATTCGAACGTCATGTCAGTCCGATGAAACGATAACAGCAGTGAAATGTGCTTCTACAACCTGTGATTTTCAAATGATCGATGACTATTTTACAGTAGCAGTTTAAGATCGTTTTTCAACTTTTAATATATTCTAGCTATTTATCTATGAATCAAATTTCAAATATTTTTTTTTCTTTTTAGAAATATATTTTTAATGAAATATATAATAATAATAGTAATAACATAGTCTTTTTCTTTTTTTTTTGTATTATATTATTTCATAACTGTTATCAAAGTTATAATTTTCTATGAATATTGAAATGATAACAATTGAATGAATATGAAAATATTATCAATATTATTAAACTATATAATTTTTTTCCTATAATATAATTTATATAGTACATATA